AGAAATGTCATAGAAGGATATTTTGAGAGAATGATTCGCAGATCGAAACAAGCGCCATCGAAACTTGATCTTACGAGAATGGCAATGCAAAGCGCGCCTCTGATTTCCATTTTGTAGCTCATTGATTAAAGTATATTTCAGATTATGGATTCTCAAGCGACTCTCCATTGAAATAGATTCCCTGCCTTCGCTTTAACTTTGTAAGCCCTGACCAAACTCTCGCATCAGTCGAGCTCTGCGAAATTCCGTAGCGCGCAGCTGATCGAATTACTTATACAGCTCAATATGGCACCGTCTCTGCCAAGGGAGAGCCGCGCATACCCTGTCCGCAGTAGGACGTGGCTAGAGGGAATATCAATTCGCAGCCAGTGCAGGCGAAAGTCAAGCAACGGCTCTGCTTTCGCTGACTCTCTGCTTGACGGGGTATCCGTTCGTCGGGCAGCGTCAGTTGTAGCCGCAGTCTGAGGCGCTCTGGCTCTGACTTCGCTCGCTTATTTGCTTTCATAAATTGAGATTGTCGAGGGCCGAAGGGTGGCCGCGGACCATTCGGCATCATCATTCGCCACTTGGCAGCTTTATGTCATTGCCGGTTAAGTGATGCATCTAATTTGCAGCTGTTGTCGCTGCTGCTGCTGTTGCCTCTGCCTCTGCCTCTGCCTCAGCTGCAGAGCGAAAGAAAACTCGTGAAGAATTTGCATTTGGTGCTTGGAAAAATGTTTGCATTCACTGTGTGCCGAGCGCGACGTAAGTAATGCCAACATAGTCTATCCACAGCTGCCTTCTCCATCTCACTCTCCATCTCTCTCTCTCTCTCTCTCTTTCTTGGCATCTGTTCTGCTTGTGTATGTGTGTGTGTGTGTGTGTGTGCCTGCTGTGCCTCATGCTCGTTAATTTTGCAGCATTTCCGCTAGCAATTTGGTGGCAGCTTCGCCGGCATCGCCATCGTCGCCGTCTTGTGGAAATATTACGTAGAGCGCTAACCGGAAATGCAGGAAGCGGATATTACACGCTCCAGAAAACACACAGCGCAGCGCTCTGCGCGCCGCACGCCGCACGCCACTCGCATAATAAATGCACACAGATATGACTTTTGACGACAAGCGCCAAGGCTGTGCTCAGAGCTGCAAGTGGGCTGCCCGCCGAGCCCCAGCAATAGCGACATTTTCCTTATTGCTGTCGGCGTTGTTGCTGCTGCTGAACTTTGTGCATGTCTCGTATTTGGACAGCTGGTCAATGCGAAAACTGTTAGCTTCTTGCTGTCTGAGCGTCACGCGGCGTATACTTGATGCTGCCGCGGAGACTGCTATTAAGTATACGCCGCATGGGCATAGGACAATACTGCGGCTACGGCCAATCAGCGAAAACACTAAAGTTTTCAATATTTGTATACATATAATTACATATATTTGCCTCTATATGAGATATGCATCCCTGGAGTGTACTGCATAGCTCTCTATTGACGACGCCTGCCTAATTGATGCTCTACTGGGTAAAGCTCTTGAGCCCAGTCTCCGGGCCAAGCCGGCTTTTGCTTCTGTTCGGCATCATTTAAATGCCTCATCAGCTGATGAAGTGCGCAACGTGGCGTATACTTGATGCTGATATTCATAGTACGCATACGCCATGTGATTCAATGCTGAAACTGTTAAGAGACATATATAATATCTGTCGCTGGAGGTATTACTCAAGATTTGTCTATATAGGATAGCTGTAGCTGTTGCCCCTCAAAAAAAGCACAGGCACACACTGTCAACTCGACATAGAGCGTGGCCACAGAGCTCCATGAGCATCCTGAGCTAGCTCTGGCATTTGCTTGCATATTGGATTACACTTAAGGCCGCCTTGTGCAAGGCATCTGTCGGCCGACTACGTTCTTTGACTGCAATTGGAGCGCACCTAATGGGCGCCGAGTGTTGGCTGAGTGGGCGTTGGGGCGTGGCTGTTAAATTGCCTGGACAGCAGTTGTTGCAATTGAACTCGGAGCAAGTCAGCTGCAGATCAAAGACGGCCAAGGCAAACATTTACCTACCTTTGAGCTGAAAGCAAGCAATCAAAGAGAGAGAGAGAGAGAGAGAGAGAGAGAGAGAGAGAGAGAGAGAGAAGGAAAAGAAAACTCGTTTATGATTCGTGTAAGATTTCTTTGTTTTCTTTATTGAACATAATAATTTGTTGTTGTTGTTGTTGTTGGTTTTTAATGCTTGCTCACTTGCTTGTTAAATGTCTTCTGTTTTTGTTTTCTGTTTTTGTTTTTGCCTTAATTTAAATTTAATTTATTTAATTTTAATCGTTAAGGTTTTCTCCCTATGCAACGTTTTGACTTTCAATTATCTCTTCTTCATGCGCTTTTTTTATTTTTAGTTTAGAATCATAGCGTATATCAATAAGCATAAATTTTATAATTATTTTTATTTGTATTTTATTTTTATGTCTTTTTTTTTTTTTTTGCTTTGTTATTTTTATCAATTTGTAGCTCTTGCATAGAAAAAAAATACTTTTTAGCCATAATAATGAACATTAATTTGTAGCTTTAGCTTCACTTTAAGCATGTGTGAGCTGTTCTCTATGTGTGTGTGTGTGTATGTGTTGTTTGTGATTCATGTTTAGTTGCTAATTAACATTACAATATTTATAATTTTTAATTCAATTTTTATTTTATTTTTATTAATTTTTACTTGCATTCAAAAGCGCCATCAATTGATCTGTACGTGTGTGTGTGTGTGTGTGAGTGTGTATTTTACTTTGCATTTTTTTTTATTAATATTTTATTTCAATTTTCTCAGCTATATTTATGTAAAAAATTTCAGCGTGTGTGTGTGTCTGTGTGTGTGTATGAATTATATATAAATATCGAAATAAAATAAATTTGCTCGTGCATGAATAAATGCTTAAATTTCTATATATATATATATATATATATATAATTTTTAAAGTTGTTTTTCTTCTTCTGCTTCTTCTTCATCTTTTGCTCATATAAATTTAAAATTGTCAGCCATTTGTTGTTTAATAAAAACATGTATGTATTCTCATTTATTTTAATAATTATTTGTAATTTGTTATTTTTAAATCTTTTGCAATTTATTTATTTATTTTTCTACGGTTTTTTTTTTTTTTTATGCTGCATGCCATACTCTGTATACATATATATATTTAAATATATATATGTATATATTTATTTTTTACTTAATTCTATAAAAACTGCTTTAATTAAAAATTGTTTTTGCCTTTGCTTCACGCTCTTCGTCTTTTTAATGCATTTCAATTTATTCATTTGCTGTTGCCTTTTTTTTTTTTTTGTTAATATATATATATAAAAAAAAAATATTCATATATATATTTGTCTCATATTTTCTGTTCAAGTTTAATGCTTCATGTAAATTCTGCTTTGCTCTAGCTTTAATTCATTAATCTTGCATATTTTGGCTGCTTAGTTACTTCTTCTTCTTCTTCACTTGTTTAGGCTTCTTGTGTAATCGAACGTAAATTTTGTTAATTTTTTTTTATTTATAAATTAAGTACACACCGATTAATGTTTTTAAGCTAGCGTTTCTTTAGTTTATGTACAACATTTATGTCACTAATAGTATTTATATTGATGCTCCTTCGACTCAGAGAACTCAAAGTGTGTGTTCAATAATTGGTAATTAATTGCATTTCGTATTTATTTAAGAGCTGAATTATCTCCGTCCTCCCCTCTCAAATTATGTACATAACGAACAGAAATTGAAACAATGTTTCACAAACTTGCATATTTTTTATAGAATATTTTTTCTTTTTTTTTGTTGTTGTCGTTAGAAGTGAAAGGGCAACTAATTAACATAAATTACACACACACACACACACACACACGCACACTCATACTTACATACTTTAAAAAACAAAAACAATCAGAAATACGTTACGAATTTGTAATTATATATTAATTAATTAGCATAATTAATTCGCATTATTGTTATTAAATGTTTCGCAAGCATTTTGAGCTGCATTAAAGTTCAACTTTAAGTACATAAAATTTTGGATGGATGCATTAGTCAGTTGATAAGTTTAAGATTATATCATTAAAAAAAAAAACAAAAAAAAAAAAGTACAATTAAAATTGAATTAAAAATATACTTTTCTTTTTCAATATATATATATTTTTAATATTATTATTTAATTTTTATTTTAGTTTTATTCTTTTATTTTTATTTTATTTTTTTTTTTTTTTGTTACTACACAACACAACAAACATCTAGAATTTCGTGGGCTTATCATTTGGTTAGCATTCTCATAATTTTTTTTTTTTTTTCATAAAATTTTTTAGTTTATTTTGTAATATTTTTTTTTTTGTTAGTTTTTAATTGTAATTTTTATACTTTGATTGTGGCCGTTTCGTGCGTGCTGGGTGAGGGGAGTGGGGAAGTTGGCGAAGGGCGGAGGGCGGGGCCATTATTACAACCGAATGTTCATTTAGCTGTCTACACAGAGCTCGCTCATGTCTTTACCATATCATATCATATCATATCATATCATATCATATCGTATCATATATTTATATGCACGCATGCATATCTATGTATATGCATGTGCATACATGTATGTGTGTGTGTAACTAGATGTATGTACAAATCTAAATTTCTTTTTTAAGTGCAAATGTCGACTTGGATGGAGTTTTTCTTTTTTTTAATTATTTATTTTTTTGTTGAAAGAAAATATATATAAAATTGCAACGAATCGGGACTAAGAATGTAACAGGCGCAGCGGCAACTGGAAATTTCGCTCAGTGTAGGCTGTAGCTCTTCCGTTGTCAGCTTCGAGCTGCGCGTTGCGTGTCTTTCAGACAACCATAAGCATTTCACATACATAAGATAATGTATAGTGTATGTATATGTATATGTATTTGTATGAAGAATAAAAGCTAATCAAGAATCATATATGTATCTATATATATATATATTCAAGTTGGACGAATGTGTTGAAGGTTTCAAGGAAGGTTAAGGTTGATTTTTCTTCTGTTTTCTTTAAGCAAACAAAATTTATAGCTCGCTTGGACGCAATCAAAAGTGTTGTAAAATGGCAAAGAGGAGAATGAAACAATTTCAGGGGTTGCTCGTTTGTGTGTGTGTGTGCGTGTGTGTGTTTTCTGTGCTGTGGCTACGTGGCGTATGCGTAATCTTTGTGTTTTATCCTTGGCCAGTTCAGCTAAGTTGCGTATTCAATATTTGTAATTTGTTAAGTATTCATAATTAGCTTTTAGCAGTGTTGATAAATGTTTAGTTGTGTGTCGTTTGTTTCGTTTACTCTTTAGCTTGAGTTTATCATTTTGAGTTAGTTTCAATCTTGAACTAGTTGATTCTTTTGTTTTGTTTTCGTTTTTGTGTTACTAAAATATCGCGAACCTCTTGCCCTCTTGCTGCTCGCTTCGCATCTATTGCCTAGGCATTTGTCCTCCATCAGCAGTTGCTCTTGTGACTTCGTTCGCAGTGTCAGTTGTGACGTCACTAGCTCAAGCATGTTTGTTGAAGCATTGCATGTATGTAAATATATATATATATATATATATGTATATATATATATATGTGTGTATATGTATAAGTATTTAAAAAATTGGCTTCTCGCTTCTGTTGTTCGCTCCTCTCTCTCTTTCTCTCTCTATCTTTCTATCTTTCTAACTCTCTTTTGTCGGGTTCATACATTTGGCCACTTGGTTTCTTCGTTTGTTAGGTTTCCATGTTCACTTGTTTCACACTTCATTTCCTTTCGGTTCGTTTCACTTTCAAGCGTTCCTCTTGCTTTGATTTTGTGTCTATTTATTTTTGTGAGAACTTTTGCTACATTATCATTATTGTTGTTATTATTTCAATGCTTTTCAGTAAGTTATTTTATTTTATTTATTTATTTATTTTTATGTTTCTTAACTGCTTATTGCGTTTTATAAACACTAACTTGTCATATTATATTAATTTATTTATTTATTTATTTTTTTTGTATATATTTTTTTTTTTTTTTCATAGATTTTTGTCATACTTATTAAAACTACTCAACTTAAGCCGATTGCTTGTTGTGTTTTCTCAATATTTTGTCGTGTTTTTGTGTCTGCCATCCGCTTGTGTCATTGCTGTAACTTAGTCAACTAGACGCCGTATAACTAGTAAAAAAATGTGTTTTTGACTGGCTCACACCAACATACTAGGTAATATATGCTATACGTTAAGTAATACTAGACAAAAAAAATATATAGTTTCGTTTGCTTACTAGCCTAGAATTGTAAATGTCTATCGATCGTAAACCGAAAATCAAAATACAAACAAACAAACAAATACTCGTATCTCCTCTCTCTTTCTGCACGTAAATACATCGTTGCGTTCTCTTTCCACCCACACTTCACTTGCCTGCCCAAGCACGCTAGCTCTCTTCATTTTCATCTTCATTTTCACTTTCATTTTCATTTCCATATCCATTTCGGTTTCCTTTTGATTCAGCTGTTCTTGCGGGTCTGAGGGGCTCTGTGGGCGTGGCTTAGTAGCGCTGCTGATACTCATGATGCCAGCGATTGAAGTCAATGTGGAACACAATGATGGAACCAGTTGACAGGCCAGCGAGCAAATATCTATTGAGAGAGTGAGAGAGAGGGAGATGGAAAAAACGAGAAGAAACAGAGAGAAGAGACAGAGACAGAGATAGTATAACATATTAATCAGTTTATGTGTGGCTACACCCCAAAGGCCTGCTGCCCTCCAATACTTACTTCTGATCATGAGTGAGAGCCAGCGAGCGTATGCCCGCATTGCAGGCGGGGAAGGCATAGAGCGGCGCCAGGTTGAAGGTGCGCCACACCTCGACAATGCCGCGATCTCCGGCGGTCATCAGATACTCGCCATCGCGCGAGAGCAGCATGCACTATAACAGAGAGAGTGAGAGAGAGAGAGATAAAGAGAGATGCAGAGAGATCAATTGAGTACCTAGAGCTAAACAGAGATTCATCTGTGAGCGGGACTCACCTGCAGATTGTCGTTGTGTGTCTCGTGGCGCAGCTTCTTGCCATTGATGGTGTAGGCCGCGACGTTGCCCTTGTCATAGTTGATGACTATGAAGCCCTCGCGCGACATGGTTATCAGCTCTGGCGAGTGGAAGTCCACGGGCGGGTCCAGCGAGCGCAGCAAGTCACCAAATGTTGTGTGTATCAAAACGGGACCATCTAGCAAGCAAAAGGTAAAAGAAAGAGAGAGAGAGAAAGAAAGAGAGAGAGAGAGAGAGAAAGAGAGAGAGAGAGAGAAAGAGAGAGAGAAAGAGAGAGAGAGAGAGAGAAAGAGAGAGAAAGGGAGGGGCAGAGATCGCATGTTAGACTAGGCTAAAGCTGAGAGCGGATTGAACTTACTCGTTGAACCGGATACCACCAGGCCGAGCTCAGCGCTGATGACCACCGAGGTGACTGCCTGCTCGTGACCCGTGAGCGTGGCACGAGGCGTGGGCACGTCGCCCTCGCCGACAATGCTCTGGGTACGGGCATTCCAGTGCCAGAGCAGCACGGTGCAGTCCGCCGAGCCGGACGCTATGTAGCAGTCGGACGTAATGTTGCACTCGCTGCGTGCCATGCACGTGACGACGCCGAAGTGCCCAAAGACGATTTGCACGATTTTCGCTAGAAAGAGGACAGAGACAAGGAACGGTACAGGCTGCTATCTCGGTGGGGGAGAGACAGAGAGAGGGAGAGAGAGGACACTCACCTGTCTCGGTTGCAAACACTCGAAAACTGTTGTCCCAGAAGCCGCAGGCAATGAGGAAGCGACTGTCCACGGTGGTCACAAAGCAGTTCGAGCGGATCTTAAGCATTTGGCTAAAGTTGTCGCCCAAATGGCGACGGCTGACCGCGTGGCTATTGTTGTTGGTGCCATGCACAGCTGCAAAGAGAGAGAGAGAGGGAGAGAGAGAGAGGGAGACGGGGTCAATAGAATCCAAGTGGAAGCAGTTAGCCTAGCTGTACTTACTCAGCACTGGATCAATGGTCAGCGGCTGATTGGAGCCCGGCGATTGCGGCGACTCGGCATAGCTTGGACTCTGGACGGATGCGGTGTAGTTGCAGTTCCAGCGATTCACCGCAAACTGATGGCCAGCGGTCACCGTGACGACGGACGGCAGCGACAGCTGCGGATACGTGTTGGCCGAGATGTGAATGATGGGCGAATTCTGATAGAACTTGAGCATCTGGCACAGGTCCTCGGGCATGGCACTGAACATCATGGGCGACAGGTGCATGGCCGAGCTGCGCGGTGGATGCGGCTCCATCAGCAGCTGGCTGGGCGTTTGGCCAAAGTTGCGTATTTGATTCTCGACTGCCTCGCGCATCACCGGATCGAGCACGCCGTCCAGATCGACGCTGCCCTCGTAGGTGAGATAGTAGAACACGTTGGTGGCCCGGATCGCCTCGGGTCCGCGCTGCTTGTAGCCGAATATCAGATCGATCCACTGGTGCAGCTGGCAGGACACGAACTCCGATTCGAGAGCCATGCGATTGATGCGCACAAACTCCTCGGGCGTCTTGGCCCAGGGGGGTAGCTCGATGTCGTCCACCAGGGCGCCGTCCTCACGATGGCCCAGCCGATAGCCGGACGCATTGTAGAACATCTCCGGCAGGAAATACCACTCGGGTATCAGCTCCTTCACATCGGACGTATCGCGCTGGCAGTTCTTCCAGCTGAGCGACACGGACGAGAACAATCGATCCGGATAGTCGAATTTGCCGCCCTGCAGTGCCAGGAACATGGACGTGAACGGCTCCACGCGCACCAGCCAGTTGAGAGTGAATGCGGCGGTCGAGTAGTGCGTGCCATAGTGGAATGGCGGAATCGTGTCGCTGTCCCAGCTCTCGTAGCGCTCCTCGAAGTAGGCGCGACGCGACGGATTCAGGGCGCCAATCGGCTTCGACAGATCCCGGTAGTTGGAGGGCAGGCTGAGGTCCAGATCCTTGGAGTCGTAGTTGGTGAGCACCCAGGGAAAGATCGGATACTGGTTCAGATCGTTGTACGTGCGGCCGGCGATCGTGTTGAGGAACATCAAGTACTCAAAGTTGGAGATCTCGCGCCGCTGCCATTTCTGTGTCATGTTCGAGTTGCGCATCAGCTGGCGCGGCGACATCATCGAGGCGCGCCGAGTCTGCGGTATGCCGTACTTGATGCCGACGCCGACGCGCGGCAGCGCCTTGATCACCTTCTTGACGGTGTGCTGGTCGGGAAAGGCGAACAGGATGGAGGTGCGGCTGGCCAGGAAGATCTCCAGCGCCACGTTCTGCAGCAGGTAGCGGCGCGAGAAGATGGCCCGCACCTCGGAGAAGTACCACTTGCCGTGGAGATGGTCGCAGTACTTGAGCACCTCGGCGTCGATCTTGTGGAACTCCGGGTGATCCTCGTCCACCTCGAAGAACATCTCGGTGCTGGTGATCGAGACGGTGCCGGGCGCTACCAGGCCCGGTGCTATCAGGCGCGCCTTGGTGCTGATGTTGACGGGCCCGGTCAGATCCAGATCGAGCTCACGATCCTCGATCAGCAGCTCGGCGTCGTCCAGCAGCTCGCTGTTGTGCTGCGACGAGGGGTGCGCCCGGGACACCGCAATCTGTGTGTGGAACTCGTCCCGTGTCTGCAGAATGGCGTCCTCCGGTGCGCCGTTCTCCAGCGCCGCCTTCAGCGTGGCCTGCGGATGCGAGGAGCCGCGCGGGTTCTGCACCATGCGCTTGCGACGACGTGCGTCGTCCTCCCAGGCGTCCAGCTTCCAGTAGGTGGTCTTCGCCAGCGGGCCCACGGTCGCCGTCAGCGAGCTGGTGATGGAGCCAATGCCGTTGGCATCGCCCCAGGCGCCATGACGATTGCACATTATGTTGCGCACCTTCTCCAGGAGTCGGCTGGCGATGACATTGTCGCGACGGCGTGCGGCTGTGATCAGGTGGTCGCACATGCGCTCCTCCTCGCGCCGCTCGAGCAGCGTCTGGGCGCACTGCGACTCGAAGTCGGCGTGCTTGAGCACGTCGTCGGCGCGCATGCGGTTCAGTATGAACTCAGCCTCGTTGGCCACGCGCACAATGTGATCCTTCATGGCGTGCGAGAGCAGCCGGCCCTCGTTGATCAGCTCGATGAAGGCGAGGCCGGCGTGCTTCTGCAGGCTGTTCTGCCACTCCTGCGAGCAGAGCAGCATGACCAGCTCGACGACAGAGTGCGAGTTCTTGAACGTGGTCAGACCCTTGCCCTCCATCAGCAGCTCCTGACCGTGCGAGCCGACCAGCGTCTTGGAGAGGAACGGCGCAAAGTCCACCATGATTTCGCGCAGCAGCGGACACACTGGACCCAGGGCTATCTCCAGCTTCTGCGTAAGGCTGGCCTCGCGCGACGGCGTCGTCAGCGGCAGCTGGGCAACCAGCGCCGGCGGCTTCATGGGCAGCTCATCGGGTCGCGTGCGCTGCTGCTGCTGCTGCTGAGCCTGTGCGCCGGGCACGGTGTTCGCACCACCAGCACCGCCAGCGGCAATGCCAGCACCACCCACACCATAGCCGTCCGGCACACGCACCACCGATATCTCCGAGTCGGGCTTATCGCCGCGCTCACTGCCCACGACCATGCCCAGTCGTGAGACGCCCTGTTGCTGCTGTTGCTGCTGCTGCTGCTGTTGCTGCTGCTGGTGCTGCTGGTGCTGGTGCTGCTGGTGCTGGTCATGCTTGCCGCTGTCGCTGGCATCCACCAGGCCGGCAACGAGTCCAGCACTGGCCGCTGCCTGCACGGCGGCGTCCTCATTCAGATTCACATCGGTCCAGCTCTCGTCGTTCGAGTTGCTCGGCTTGTGATCGTCGGCCAAAATGTCGCTGGAGGACTCCACCTCGGGCACCTCGTTCTCCGTCGAGTTCATGTTCAGCGACACCACATCCGAGTCCACGCTCTAAACGGTTCAAGGATTATATGGGAACAACGAATACATGTCAATACATTAGGCAGAGGTGAGAGCCAAAGTTGAAGCGTTTTGTTTTTGTGTGGGCTCGACAGAACGAAAACAGTGGACAATCAAATGGTGCTGGGGTGGGTGAGGTACGCAGTGGGTGGGTGCACTGAATGTGAAACATTGCATAGTTGGTGCTGCATAACTATCGATAGTGCTGCTATCGATAGGCTATCTAAGTGACGGGCTAACATTGTATTAGTGACAGAACTAACAGCGTGTATATAGACATGTAAATATTGACTTTCTATAGTGGTAATCAAAGCTTTATGTTATCGATAGTCGATATATTGCTCAAATCAATTCGATTAGTGCGTAATACCATGCATATAGATATATGTGTGATGACTGTCTAGAGTAGTAGTCAAAGTTAGTCTACAGTTTACGCTCTGGGTTCGATAACCGATAAATTGCACCTATCGATTACACAGCTAACGAAAACTTGCAACCTGATGTATCGATGCCTTAGATTATCATTCGCAGTTTTCTATCGACTAACGATAGTTCTCTTTCGCCTTCGATTACTCAGTTTATCGAGAGATTTTTCACATAGCTAACCATAGTTATCGATTACTGCAAATTCGTTCATTGTATTTGCTGTGCTGTGCCAGTGTGTATCTCTGTGTGCGTGTGTGCGTGTATGTGTGTGTGTTCGCTTTCGGTATCATTTGCACATTAATTATGCACCCCGAACAATAAATCAAACCTCCATTGCGCTAAGCAAAGCTCATCTGCCGCCCGAATCCTGTTGACCAGCCACGTCCTCTGCACGCTCTTGTCAACACATGCATTTGTCAACGCCACGCACAAAATGTTATCTACAGATCTCTCTATATAGAAAACTACCCCTCTGCCCCCGCCCTCTCTCTCTCGCTCTCTCCAGCCCTAGCCGCCCGCTACATTCAGTCCCTGTTTGACTGTGATTTGCATAAAAGGCAATCCAAAGCACTCTCTCTCGCTCACTCCCGCTCTCGCTCTCTCCATCTCTTTGGCCATTACGTAACTCAGCTCATCCGAAAAGCATTACCCGGAGTGGACATGGCGGACAGACTCCATCCACATGGACAGGGCGGAAGGCAGGTTATGGAACGGATAGTCATATGACAGAATTTGTTAAAGCGTTTGACAAATGTCAACTGTCAAACACAAATGCTGAACAGCACTGGGCTGAGTAGGTGTTAACACAGCTGTTTCCCTATACGTGTGTGTGTGTGTGTCTGCTATGTGTGTGTGTGTGTGTGACAGCTGTTGCGCCTACGCAATATGCTGCAATATCCTGCTTGAATGTTTGTGCAGCAACTAAAATCAATCGCCTTTTGTTTGGCCCAAAATTGAATACACACACACACACACGCACACGCACTACATGTGTGTGTGTGTGTGTGTGCGCTACATGATTAACTGTTCGCATGTGTGTGCGTGGAGTACAGCGAGAGCAGAACAGGATTTGCCATATTAATAATGCAAGCAGTTCATTAAGAACCCAAAACCGGAAGACGGCACGTCGTGACTGCCACACAATGAAAGCTGCGAGTGTGCGAGTGTGTGTGTGTGTGCTCTTACTCTAGTTTGTAACACTAATTGCATACCATATACATGGACATTAACATACATAAATCACAAGACACACACAAATGCAAACAAATCCATGAGACACACAACAAATCACGTGGCGCACGCAGCCAAATCAAACTTGAGTGCGTGTGTGTGTGTGTGCGTGTGTGTGTAGGCGTGGACTTCCGCTGAGATTGCCTAATGATTTATTGATTGCATTTAATTGCAATTCAATTCGTATTCCCTTTTTTCTTTTTTTTCTTAACAAATCAAACAAATCTCAACGAAAATCAAGAAATAATTATAAAAAGAGATAAACGCGATCCTATAGATGCCTTGTAAAGTAAATATATTATAGCTTTTGGTTTCAAGCGTATGCAGGCAGAGTATAGAGTTCTTTATGTAAAACCAGCATAAACTTCTAGTATAGATTATATAATGTATATAATATAATAGATCATCTTATGACATAAGAAATCGGTTAAACTGTTTTAAAGATGATGGTTATACCAAAAATACGAATCACTTAAGGACTGTAAGAGGTGACGTGGTAAGCGAGGCAAGAGGGCGACTGAAAAACAGACAGACAGACAGACGGACAGATTGATCGATATATCGCCTTCGATCGATATGCCACCCCTTCTTTAGCTTCTTACACAACTTCGACTAAGCTTTGAGCTATAAGTTAACAGTTATATAACAACTCTGCCGTTATGTGTTCTCTACAGTGATTTTTCTTATATAAATAGAATGTTGAGTTCATGCTTGATTGACTTTAGAGCTTCAAGTCTCTCTCGACAAGCAAAAGCCAGTGAAATCCCAAGCTAATTAACTTGGCTTAAGATATAGAGGGAAAAGAGAGGGAGACGGGGAAGGCAGAGAGAGAGAGAGAGAGAGAGAGAGCTAGAGCTGAATGCATCAGTTGTGGCATGCCAGCTCGAATTATCGGCAACGCCTTAAAGTTCATGCGGGGAGTCTATCAGCTGCGGCCGAGGGAATTAAGAATTACTTGTGTGGCCAGCTGTAAGTCCGATAGATAAGTTGCATGGCAAATGGGGAGGCGGAGCGGGTAGCAGGCCGAGGGCAAATGTTGCATTGCGCTGGTTAATTGATTGCATTGGCTCATTGCTGCAATATTGATTGCATTAATGCGCACGGCTCAGCCTCGGCTCAGTTAGTCAATGCTGCTGCCTCTACCACCGACTCTACCACGGCCTTTGCAATTATGCAATGTCACATTTGGTTAGGCCACAAAAGTAAAGAAATTAAATTACAAATTGGCAAACAAACACGGCAGTCAGAGTGACAGAGACAGAGACAGAGCGACAGAGAGAGCGAGAGAGAGAGTGCGAGGTGAAAGCAATATGAAAAATCGATTTAAAAATTGTGAAAAACATGTTTCGTCCGCACGAATACGAATCGAACAAAGGCCACAAAGTTGTGCAATATGAAAATGGGAAACAAAAGTTAAATAAATTTCACATGATTTGTGTGCTCTATGCCCAGAGTGGACTCTGTGTGCCTATGTGTGTGTGTGTGCGAGTGTGTGTGTTTTGGCTAGGTGGGCGTGGCCTGTGCACTAATTAACACACGAAATGTCAACAAACGTTATGAACTTTTCAATTATATACTTGTATGTATTCATGTGAATGTGTGTGCGTGCGTGTGTGTGTGCGTGCGTGTGTGTGTGTGGGTGTGGGTGTATCGGATTCCGCCCTATAGCAGCCTTGCAGAGAGTTTTAATCGTGCAATTATTTGCATAGCAATTTATATATATATACTCACAAATATTATATATGGAATGTTGAACCAAATTATATCTGCCATTTATATGTATTCACAAATACAATATATGTGAGAGGCTAAGCCATATTAAATCTTCTATTTGCAAGTGTGTTCAAATACGGATTGGGCAAGCAAATGTCCATTAAGTGCCTCTTGCTTCTCTCCAATTAAATTGCACTCACTTAATGCAGCTAACTATGCCTGGTTTGTCGTTCTTGTCTCTGCCTGAATGGCTACGCTTCTCGCTTACAGTTTCTCTCTAATTTCCTCTCCTTTTGGTATTTTTCATGTTTCGTTTTCAACTCAAGTTTCCTTAAGCGATGTTAATGGGTTCTTTGCTTTGCTAGCGAATGCCCTCTCGCTTGCTTTCAACTTATCTTCGCTTCTCTCTTCATTGATTACTCGGCTATGTTTCTATATATAACTTGTTGGCTTTTTTTGCTTAGCTAAAGCTTTTAGCTGTTTTTGCTTTGATAGCGAATGGCCTCTCTAAAATTTGCTTTGAGCTTATCTACGCTTCTCTCTCCATAGAATATCCTGATATTTTATATGCTTCTTATTTAACTTTTCGCCTCTTTGAAGCTGTTTTTACTTATCTAGTCATAGCCCTTTCTATGTACCTTCTTTGAACTTATCTACGCTTCTCTCTCCATGGATTACTCTGAGATTATGTATGCTTCTTACTTTGCGTACTTCTTCTTCTTGACTTTTCACTCTCCATAGAATATCCTGATATTTTATATGCTTCTTACTTAACTGTTCGCTTCTTTTAGGCTGTTTTTACTTATCTAGTCATAGCCCTCTCTATATATTTGCTTTGCACTTAACTACGCTTCTCTCTCCATAGATTACTCTGAGATTATGTATGCTTCTTCCTTTGCATACCTCTCCTTCTTCACTTATCTGGTAACTTTTCTCTCTATAGAATCGCTTTGAACTTATCTACGCTTCTCTCTCCATAGATTGTTTACGTATGTAAATGCTGCTTAAGCTCTCGTTGTATTTGTTTTGCCAGCTACTGCCTTGAAGGCAATAGATTGCCCTTAAATTGAACTCTTCTTCTCCCTTCCTCTTCTTCTTTTTTCCATCACTTTGTCTCTGTTTGATTTGCCAATGGGCGATTTGTCTACTGCTTTGATCTACACTTAATTGCGCTTTTCAACAGCCTTTGTCATTATTGATGCTTCTCACTTTACTTGATTTCTCTCAGCTCTCCTCAAGAGCAGCTCGTAGCTGTCCTCTGCTTTGCCTCGCTTTGCCTAGCCCATGCCCAGCCTACTGCCTACACTCTGCACTTAGCTGCGCTTCTCGCTTCCCTGTAATTTGCAGACGCCTTTTGCATTTCGAGCAATGCTTCGTCCAGTGTTGTGTAATACCTTGGCCTGGCCTGCACTTAGCCACGCTGCTCGATTCACTGCGCTTCTCACTTCACAATTAATTGTGTTTACTACTCGTATTACTCTACTTTGTCCGGCTGCCCTCGCCTTTGTCTCCCTTGCTCTTTTTGTATTCGTTGCCTCAACACGAATTATGCCTTAATTCTTTTGTTTCTCGCTCGACGAGGAGCTCGCTTCTCTTTCTACTCGAATGGCCGCTGGGATCAGCTGTGTAACTTATTGTTTTGCTTATCCTTTTACAACTTTTCTCAACTAGCTACTTAATTGAGCTGCTTCTTTGGGCATGCTTCAGTTAACTTGAGGAGGTAATTGCTTTTCGCTTATATCAAATTCTCAACTACGCTTCTATCTTCTCTCTCCCTCTCTCTTTCACTCGCTCTCTCTTGCTTTCCTTTGAACTTCTGGAATTGTGGTTTTCCCTTTCTTTTTTTTTTTTGAGCTCATAAATTAAATAGATTCCAAAGAATTTGTAATTGCTCCACTGCAAGGCTTTGCTTCAGAGCTCGGCAAACCGATTTTACGTAGGTATTTTTGGTATTTTTAGTATATACTTCAAGTGCAACAAAATGTGAGAGTCTTTAGGTGAGTGACAGCGTTTCTTTGTACGTATGTGTGTGTGTGTGTGAGTGAGTGAGTGACTGTGTTTCAGGTGAGTTGACTTCAATTGTTCTTGTTGCTGTTGTTGTTGTCAAATTGTTGCAGTATTTTTGAGATTTTGTTGTTGTTGCTTGATGATTTTACTTTTACCTTTGGTAATTTTTGTGGAACCATTGGCTTGGGAGGTGACAATGGTTGTTGTTGAATTTTAATTGAATCTTTAGTTGATTTTACAGTTGTTGTTGTTGTAGTTGTTGTTGCGGTTGTTGTCTTAGTGTTCTTGTTGTTGTTGTTGTTCTTGTTGTTGTTGTTGTTGTTATTATTGTTATGAGCCTGTGACATTTTGTTTTGATTGATTTGCATAGTTTTAGTGTTTTGATTTCGATAAGAAAAACATGCAAATGAATTGGCTTCACTGCTTCAATAGATTGTTGTTGTTGTTGTTGTTTCTTTTCTACAAGTTAGAGCTAAACTAAACATACACTCAGCCATACACATCCAAACGATTGAATAGTTGAAGAGATTTCATTCGTCATGCAAAGTGAACTGAAATCAATCTTAGGACTAGAAACTTGAACTTGCTCCGGCCCCAGCCCCAGCTGCATAATCCCGCTTCCCGATATATCGCACACACATACACACACTCGCGCACGCCTAGTACCACGAATCGGTTCACTCACCTTGATGGAGGGCGGCCCGCTCGAGTGCGAGTCGTTGTCCGCGAGCACCGACGGATTGTTCTCATCGACGACGATGATCTCGTAGTCGCTGTCCTGAATCTGACGGCCGCCTGTACCGGAAAAGAGACGAGAGCCGAATTAGTTCGAGTTAGTTATATATATATATATCTATGCATATCAATACATACATATATAAATAGAGTCTAGATAAAAAGCATAATTCGTATGTTACGTTTGACTTAGGCACAAAAACAATAGTAATAACATTTGTGTTTAGGCATGTTCTCTAACGGTTACATCAATCGAACTGTGAACGAACGCACAAAACTAAAAACGAAAGAAATACCAACAAAATATCGGCTAAATACATTAAGCTATGGTATATTATAGTATGTGTAGAAGAAGTAGAAAGAGCGAAACGAGTTTGAATTCCATGTGGAAATATCAATATCCAGTTAGGCATTTGACAAGCAGTTAAGCTGTCAACACCTCACAGTGCTGCCAGATCGTCAGCAGACCGAGTGGGCCCCGGCTCAGGTGCTACAGCTGTCTTTGATGACCTGCTAGAGCCCATTAGAGCCAGACAATTGCCTCAGTAGCTCAATAGCAACATGTTAGGCCTGACAGCTGCTGTCAAAGTGCCTGTCAACCGGCAGAGATTAGACATATTTTTATTAAAGCAATGGGAAAATCTCTGCAAATGAATCCAATTTCATGCATTGGACTAAAGGATAAGGCCGACACTCTCTAATGGACGCTGGCAAAGTTGACAATTTATTATGGTATTTGAGTGGGAGAGTGAGATAGAGAGAGAGAGGGCAATATTCGAGTTGCCTGACACTTTTGAGGTGTGGAAATTGTTTGAGTTTTGCATTAATTAGTCAAATGGCTTTGACTGCATGTAGTTGATGTTCAAGAGCTCAAATTTGCATACCTAAGCACAGACACACACACACACACACACAAGCTGACAAAAATGAGAAACAGAGAGAGAGAGAGAGGGAGAGGGAGAGGGTAAGAAGAGAGAGTATGCATAGCTTAATAGTTAGCAACTGCTTTCAACAGCATTTGGTATTATTTTTTTGTTCGTTTTCTTTTTCTCTTTATGGCATCTAAAGTGCTGCAAACTAATCTGCTAGCTCAATCTCTGCAGCTCCCTCTACGCCCCCGCCCACCCTCTCTCTTCCCAACTCTCATGCTCATATCTCCTGCATTGTGCACGCAGCTGCTGCTGTTCATTTGAATTCCTAATTCACATTGCCCCAGCCCCAGCCCCTGCCCCAGCTCCTGCCCCTGTCCCAGCTCCTGCCCCTGCCCCTGCCCAGCTCAGGCACCTACTGCTATCTGGTAATTTTGTTATTTGTAAGGTTTTCAGAGTGCCATAGCTGGGGCTTACGCCCTTTGTTCGACCAGTGAATTGCAGCCGTAGCCGCCGCAGCCGCAGCTGAGTCTCATGGATGCATAATGCAATCGAGAGATACGCGCGGCCTTTAGCCGGCTCATTAGCGAATTGCCTGGACTGTGGTTAGCACCGGCCGTGCATTGTCCAAAACTGTTTTTCAGTGTTGCTTAATGTCTTAATTGAGATTTATGTACGGCGCTGTTAAGTATGCTACACTTTTTGTTTGCCTGTCGCACGCTCGCTTGCTTCATTTGCAATAATTTCCCAGTGTGGCGATTTTTCACACACAGAGAGAGAGAGAGAGAGGGAGAGAGGGAGAGAGAGGGAGAGCGAGAGAGAGAGGGAGAGGCAACGAGAATTATGTGCAGGCCACAAATTACTTTTGTTTCAGCATTGTAAACGTGTTATCGGCTCTTACAGCTGCCCTTGTCCTGCCTCCCCCCCCTCTCTCTCTCTCTCTCTCTCTCTCTCTGTCTCTCAGTCACATAATTTATATTCGTTTGCCTGCCTTTATTTTTTGCGACTAATTTACATTTTTTGTCGCTGCCATTAAAAAATGCTCGCTGTGTGTGTGTGTGTGTGTATGCGTGTGTGAGTGTGTGTGTGTCCAGGCAGCAATATAAAAATAGAAAAGAGAGAGTGAGAGAGAGAGAGAGAAATGCACGCGTGCCGCATGTCGTTCGCTCCGTTTTTATGGCCCAATATTTTACGCCCGTCTACGAAAATAATACTGAATGCCAAAAAATACCGTTAATTCATTTTTATGGTATGGAAAATTAACGAATTAGACGCAACTTCTTCGTGCTGTCATTGGGCTCTGTGCGCTCTGCCCGAAATGAAGATAAATGAAATGAAAATTGTGCTGACAGCACACGAAAATGACGAGTAAAAGCCGCTGGGCAACAGTCCCCCCCCTCCACCGTTCCCCGCCCAGCCCCATACGCCACGCCTTCTGCCATGGGTCGTACGCCCTGTATTTTCGTCCCTAAATTCCCAAGCGCTAACAGGACCAAGTGTCAAAAATAATGCTGTCACTGTGGCTGCAATGCATGTGTGTGTGTGTGTGTGTGTGTGCTGTCTATGTGTGTGTGTGTGTGTGTGTGTGTGTCTGTTATGTCTAGTAACAAAGATAGATTGCACTTTTTAAAAGCATAAATGGATAGCATTTTGCTACATGACCTCAAACAACAACAGCAACAGCACACACACACACACACACACACAGCAGTTGACACACACACACCTACACATACACAACCTGTACTTTGTGTCTTTGTCCATGTCAACTGGACATTAGCAAACGTCGCCTTTGAAATCAAACACATTCAAATCGAATCAACAATTTAGGCCAGAAAAAGAAAAACAAAAGTAATAGAAGAAGAAGAAGAAGAAGAAAAATTCAAATGTAAACAAAGCCAATCAAATTTCAATTGCAATCAAATAATTGACTCTCAGAACAATATAATTGCATAAATGGCATTAAAATAAAATCAAATTGCAATCGAATAAATACAAATACAAATACACATACACACACACAAATATCATCAGTGTATGTGTGTGTGTGTGTGTGTGTGTGTTTGTGTTAAAGTAAATTGTGCATTGTGCAGCTAAATGTCAAACAATTCAATGAGATTTATTCAAAAAAAAAAACAAAAAAAAAAAATAAA